GGAATTGGAAAAATAATAGAGGAGTTTATAATATATAAAAGAGGGGGCAGTCTTCAAGTCACATGGTCCAAATTGTGCACCTAGCCATGAGAAGGAGGAGATAAAGAGATGAGGATATCAGATGATGGGGAATCTGTATGGGGTTAGAGAACACCTTCTAGCAATGAGAGTTCACCATATGTCAAGAGGAGATTACGTGTCGCCTTGTAGGTGAAGATGAACGGTTTGCATTTTGTAAGATGAGAGGAAGGTGTTTAATGTAAATATTCAAATAAATTGTCATCCAGGCAGATATATATAGATGACAAAGTCTTAGACTATTGACAAAGATTATGTTGTGTAAAATAAATGTTAGTTGCTTTACAAAGCTTGCCCAAATGTAAAATATTCAGAGGAAAAAATACATTAATATTTCTACCAATAAACCCCCCCACCTGCTCAGAATTTGAATGCTGTTGGTTTCTGATTTTGTGACATGCAGGATTGGATGAAAAGACATAATGTGATAGAATCCATCTTCTAAATTATTAATATAGCTGTTCTTAATTACAAGATGTATAAAACTGGAAAAATACTAGAAAGAGAGTCATGCTTTCCTTCACTTCAGCATTTGCACCTCACAACATAGGCATTTTTGGTGCTTATCTTCCTAAAGCCAGAGCCGACTATAAGCTGTCAGGAGTGATGCATGCCCAGCTGTTCTTTTCTTTGGGCAGGGAAGTGGATAAATGACCTTTCAAGGTCCCTTTGACAAATGGGATCCCCGACACCTACGTAACCCCAGTTTTTTTTCAGGTGGAGCGGTGAGGTGAGCAGTGGGCATGGGGCTAAGGTGGTGAGCTTTGGGGAGAAGCCCTAGGATGAAATCACTGATAATCTTTGCCAGTGTACAGTATTTGTTACTGTTTTACTTCATCCTTTTACATACAATCCAAGTATTTTCTTAAATTGAATCAAAGTGTATCAACAGAAAGCTATTTAAAAGGCAATATATATTTACACACACCTGACACAACCAGGTCTTGAAATGCAAAATTTACACATCTCTTAAATTAGATTCCTAACCCTATATTTAGATGCCTATCACTTGAAATGCTAAATTGCTGAACCTTCATAAGCTCACATTGTCACTGTTGGCTGCCGTGGACAGAGCATTTCTGGCTCTAATTAATTTGGTTTGAAGGTGCTCAGGGATATAGTTCATCCTGTTGATAACGTGACACTGTAATTATGTGAATCAAGTGCAGACTGATGCTTTAGGAGTGGTGACAGGAACTATCAGCTAATCCATCCCTAACATTTCAGTATTTATGTGTGGACCTACCTACTGACATAAGAAGGTGCCTTTTGACAGTATTTCAGTGTTACGGAGCGGAATAAAAAAATTAGGATTGTTTGATACATGAAGGTATTTTGCCATGTTTTTCTTACCTTCTGGGCAAAATGACAGGTAGATGAATATACTGCTTTTTTTTAAAATAACTTGCTTTTGATTATCTTTCTATTTCAGCTTGAATAAGTTGTAGTACAGTGACATTTTCCAAATGTAATGTTGTTTGTCCACTGTTTAGTGCTAATAATATCTTTCACATCATTAATAACTCTTACATAATTAGTTTTTCTCCTGTTTATAAACACTGTGTTGGAGACATTTAAATAAAATTATGGTCAGAAAAAATGACTCCCAAGAAATTAGCCTTCCAGCACAGGATGAGAAACATATTTGCTCACTTTTGTGACAAAATGGAGTTTTTACTACATTTACCCTGGTTAGCCTTGCTCTCCTTGGGGACAGCGACACAGATTTTAGTCTAGTGTAGACATGACCAGAATTGTCAATGTTCCTCCTGCTGGATTAAATATTACCTTTAGCTATACCTCATATATCACTGTATACCACCAATGGAAGTGGATGACATAAAATGAAGGTAAAATTTCTTCCTTTACCCCACCTGCAATTGCTTTATTCCTTGGAAAGTCTAAACTAAAAAAGAACATAACTCCATTTTCAGATGGCAGGGTAGCTTTGTGGTGCTTGTATTTCAAAGTGGAAAAATTATACTTGATCTCTAAAACAAATTCTAAATTCTGCAGAAAATTTGATCTCTTCAGTCATGGAGACAACAAATATGGAATCTCATTAAGCAATTTTCACAGTCACTTTTCAAAAGGGAACTATTTCAAGGTTTTATCTAGTGCTACCCTGCTTGTCTCACTGCAAATATATTCTCCTTTATGTGCCTTATGTGTTTTTCCTAGTTGCAGTCTTTTCATAGCTCTGTATATGGTCTGTTCCACATATGTCTATTTCTGTGGCCAAAGCTCAAGTCAGTCTTTGGGCATTTATGATTTGTACTGACAATCTAATTTTGTAACATCAAAAATGTCATCCCAATATTGTATGCTCTGGATGAGTGAAGAAAAAGAGATGTCGTACTGATCCCTGTTATCAGTCAGGTGCATTCTACTTCATTAACCAAAAAGGGAAGGGAAAAGGCTATGGCAAACTAGATGTGTCAATCAAGTTTTATCAAATCACAAGTCAGAAACCACATGATCAAACTAACGCCTACGTTTCACTAGACATAGTTCAGACAGGTCAGACACGTGCTATCGCTTGCAGTCCGTGGATATCTGTTCACTAAGTGACATCGTACAGGGATGGATGGATGTAAAGGCACGTGTGTTTGCCTCGGTTGTTTGTATTCAACAGGTGACAGGCCGCTTTTACATATTTGACTCCTTACTGTAAGGGAAGACAGCAAGTGGATTCCTTTATTCTGCAAATACTGGATCTTTCAGAGTACTGATCTGAGTAACATGGGCATGATTTCTTAGTGCTTTGCATGGCAGATTTGGGGGCATGAAATGCAGCTTGAATCACACAAAAAAGGCTGAGCTGTTTTTGGATCTTGGGAAACATGAATATATTCAGGGTTACAAATGCACATTTTGCAACCTAAGCATTGCCACATCAGAGCTTACCTGTGGACATCCACCTGCCAAAGCACTACTGTTTTGCTAACTGATGAGTGAAATACAGCTGATGTTGCAGACGCATAATTCAAGAAATGTCAGACAACAGAGGCTGTATTTGTGGCATCATCGGCTGTTTATCTTATCCCTGAATCTAATGAAGACTGTTTTTTGATGGCTCTAAGATGGAATATTTCATAAGTCAAAGGTCTGAATTATAATTGAAACGAGTCATACTTTTTGGCCCTCTTTCCTTGATGTGGGCAGAGAAGGTCTTTGATAATCTTAAATGAAAGGGACAATGCTGCTTATTTCAATTCTGTTTGTTTGTTCGAACACAGGAGTAATTTTTTCAAGAGAAAACTAAGTGTATTTTGGAGGATAAAATAAGTAATCACAGAAATTGTAGTTTAGCAATATTTTTGTGTGTGTTTGTCAGATCAGAAATTCATATTTGGAACAGCTTACTTCGGATAGAAACACCCCCCCACACCCCCCACACCCCCCGATGACATCTACAGCAAAACTCTGAAACTGTAGGACATATATAATAGCAATAAATCCAGGATGTGCATTTTTACAAATATCAAATAGTTTAGACTGATACTGACAGAAACTGTTAAGGAAAAAACTTGTCAATATTCAAAAACCTAGATGCAATAACGTTTACTGACACTAGAGGGCATAAACGCCATTAAAAATAAATGCAAATGCAAAAACATTTTAAAATACGTGTTACAAATACATGTGCCGTCTCCCACCTCCTTCGAATTCATTTACATGCTTTAAAAAAAACCCCAAACATTGATTGAGGTCTGCTGTCTGCTCCCGTCTTATTTGCTGGAAAGGAAAGTTAGTAACATTTTTG